TAAATGAGTTTTGCCGGAGCCGCTATCACTGAGAAAGCTGAAGTTAGTCAGCAGCAATTGCTCTACATCAACGTCACAACAGAACCACTTTTGTAACATCTTCCTGGTACAGCACCCAGCAATCACAAAAGACAAATGAGCTCGACTCTGAGGTTCAACTGCACTCCTGCATGATACAGATCGTCTCATGTGAGTACACCCTGACCAGGGATATCCTTGGTTGGTCATCTCAGGCATACAGCTATATGTATAAGCACACCAGCTCCTCCCACCTGCTGTATAAAACTGTTTGGGGGGTAGGGGTTGCCATTCAGAGGAAATGGAGCTCCATCATTGACAGTATAAGAATATGTCTAGCTTATTTTGAGCTTTGAGCTCATAGGTCACTTTATCATGAATTGGCCTCTACTTTCAGAAATATACAATGAGAGAATCTCGATATGTCTGTAACAGACTGGAGACGGAGGAATGTGTCTTTACCCGTTCAGACTCGATGATGGTTGTCTAGTAAGACGATCATCATCGCTTCCACAGAACGGTGACCAGTGTGCTGGTTCAGACCTGAAGCTGACCTGCTCACATGCTGTTCATATTAACAGACAAGGATCCATGTCTGAAAGGGGTCAAAGTGTGACAGTTTTCTTGCATCTGTAATTTAAACAAGACATTCCAAGCTTTTATTTATCGAGGCACTTTTTTCTTCTTTCCTTTTGCATTCAGATATAAGGCTGTAAATTCAGCCTGCTGGAGGAAGAATGAATGGAGATGAATCCTATGCAGTGTGATGCAGAATTTGTATTAGCATTAAAATTTCTGTCATGTTCTTATCGTCTTGGAAAACTGATTCTTTTTGTAAACTGTGTCAAAACTAGAGGGAAACAGGGTTTTTTTTTTCTTCTGAAAGCTTGTTTTGTATAGTAACTAGCATTTTAGTGCTATGTTAAATATTTCATTATGAATGGTACTGATTAGTAGAATGAATAGATGTCTTCTTGTGATTAACATTTCATGACTCTAAACAGTCTGCAGGTATATTTTGTTTTTCTAAAGGTTAATAAATGCTTGTTTGGATGCAAGGTGAGTCGCACTGAAACAGTTTTTTTTTTAAGTTTGCCTATCTACAGTATTGCCTTCTGTTGCAAAAAGTTGGCCTTAAATTCTAAAAACTACCAAATGAAAAAATATATGTGCCAAAATATAGCTCTCGTTAGGGTCATGAGAAGTCTGAAACTATACAGCCACAGAGTCAGACATAGTGAGGTTTATTTCCTGTAACATCTTTGAAAAATGGATATACTGTTTATACCCCTATTTAACTGTCTAAATGAGGTCAAAACGTGGTTATCACGCAACTCTCTCACACTGAACGAGGATAAGACAGAAGTTATAGTTTTTGATAGCTGTTCCAGCGGGGCGTGACTAACTGATGCCTTAGGCCCCTTTGCTAGCCATCTCTCGCTCACTGTTAGAAACCTTGGTGTTTTCCTGGACAGCTCTTTCAAACTCAAGAAACAGCTCTCCTCTGTGGTGGAAAACAGTTTCTACCAGCTGCGTCAGATATCTATCTTTGAAGGACCTTGAAAAGTTATCACTTCCAAATTAGACTACTGTAATTCCCTCTACTCGGGCCACCCGTCTTCCTCTATTCACCGGCTCCAGTTAGTTCAAAACGCAGCTGCGCGTCTCTTAACTGGTACTAGAAATTATGCCAACATTACACCTGATTTAGCCAACCTATATTGACTCCCTTTTGAAAATCATATCAATTTCAAAATTGTCTTGCTTACCTTTAAAATTTTAAACAATTTGGCTCCCAGCGGTCCCCAACCCGGTACCGGTCCGTGAGTCGTTTGGTACCGGGCCGCGAGGGTAGAGGCTCAGGTGTGAAATGTATAGTTTTCAGGGTTTTTATCGGTTTTCAGCGTTATTTTGTTATTGTTTTTATCGTTAACTCGGTTTTCCTGGGTCTTTTCACGTGTGTTATGAATAAATCTTCTTTTTTTCGGTACCGGTACAAGTTTTATTTTGTTGTATTTATCCGCGACACCTTAAAGGCCGGTCCGTGAAAATATTGTCGGGCATAAACCGGTCCGTGGCGCAAAAAAGGGTGGGGACCGCTGACCTAGATCTTCCAATCAAATGCTCCTGACACAACAGAGGTCTCGTCTGAAGTCCAGATGTGATCGGGCCTTTGCTGTTGTAGCACCTAGACTCTGGAATAACCTCCCTCCTTATATTTATTCCTCTGAGTCCATCCAGTCTTTTAAATTGCGTCTTAAAACTTATTATTTTAGTCTGGCTTTTGATTTCAACTAATGTTATTTCGTGGCTAATTATGGTTTTTTTTCTCTATATTGTTCATATTGTTTCCTGCCCTCCTTTTAACTGTTTCTTTTTATTCTGTCTTATGCTATTGCTCTGACCGACTGTGAAGCACTTTGGTCAACTTTATCGTATTATTATGTGCTATAGAAATAAATTTTGATTTGATTTGATTTGATATACACAGCAGGTAAAATAAGTATCAAACACGTCACCAATTTTCTAAGTAAATGTATTTCTAAAGGTGTTATTGACATGAAATTCCCACCAGATGTTGGTATCAACCCATCCAGTCCACACATGCAAAGATATCAAGCCACAGATGTCCTTGACACAGGGACAAAGTACTGAACACACTTACTGAAATGTAATAATTTGTATAAAAGCCTTTGCTGGTGATGGCAGCTTCACATGCCTCCTATATGGAGAAACTAGTTGGATCAACCTTGGAGCTTCTGTGGGTCCCTTCCATGATCTCTATTTTTAATAGATTTTCACTTGGATTCAGGTCAGGTGATTTAATGGGCCATTCTAGCAGCTTTTCTTTTCTCTTTAACAGACCAAGTTTCCTTGGCTGTGTGTTTGGGATCATTGTCTTGCTGAAATGTCCACCCTTGTTTCATCTTCGTCATCATCATAGATGGCAGGAGTTATATGAAGCATGCCAGTGCCGTAGGGTGATGTTCCCACCTCCAAACTTCCCTGCTGGTATGGTGATTTGGGGGTGATATGCAGTGTCTTTTGACCTCCAAACATGGCATCCAAAAAGTTCAATTACGTCTAATCTGAGCAGACTATATTCTCCCAGTATTTCGCAGGCTTCTCTAAATGTTTTTCAGCAAACTTTAAACACACTTCAATGTATTTTTTCTTCAGCAGTGGAGTCTTGTGTGGTGAGTGTGCATACAGGCCATGGCAGTTGAGTGCAGTACTTATTGTTTTCTTTGAGTTGCCTGCTGATTCCAGGTCTTTCCATAGTTCTCCACAAGTGGTCCCTGGCACTTGATTATTCTTTTCACTCCTGCCAGAAATCTTCCCACTTCCAGATTAGAGCTCCAACAGTGCTCAGTGCCATCAGTATATTTTGAAACAGGAAGGATTTGTGAGAGATCTCATCATGAGATATTTGACAACTTGGTAATGAAACATTTTTATGAGACATCAGCTGGGAGTGAACCAGCTGGTATTAAAGCCGCAGGGTTGCTTTCTAATTACTGATAGATTGTGCCTACCTTTCTTCGTGTGTTCAGTACTTTTCCCTGCATTATTTCTCATTATTACACATAATTTATGGCCACCTATGGGTAAATTTCTTGGCATGTGTGGACTGGATTGGTTGTTACCGACATCTGGTGAGAATTTCATGTCAATAACAACTTTAAAAATATATTTATTAGGCCACAATTGTGGGTGTAAAAGGCATTATATATTTACCCACAGTCTGTGTGTGTATAGACATAGATTCATCAGATACGTCATTAGATACACTTTGTTAGTCCCAGGTTAGAGCCCCTTTGGTCTTCAGAACAGCTTTAATTTTTCATGGCATAGAAGGTGCTGGAAACATTCCTCCAAGATTTTGGTTCATGTTGACATGATGGCATCACAGCTGCTGCAGATTTGTCTGCTCCACATCCTGTTGCACCCCAACTAAAGGTGCTTTATTGGATTGACATCTAGCGACCGCAGAAGCCACCTGAATACAGTGAAGCCACCTGATTTTCATGTTCAAGAAACCAGTTTCAGATGATCTGAGCTTTTTTGCAACGTAGTGTACTATACTCCCGGAAACAGCCATTGAAACATGGGTACACTGTGGTCACAAAGGGATGCAGATGGTCAGCAACATTACTCAGGTAGACCGTGGTGTTTAAATCATGCTCTGCCCAAATGTGCCTAAAAAATCTTGATACGAGGTGAGATTTAACAGTGGCCTCAGTTTCCTGTAGTTAGCTGACAGGAGTGACACCTGGTGTGATCTTCTGCTGCTGTAGCCTGTCTGCAGCAGGGAGTAAATCAGGGATTCTCTTCTACATAAATGAGTGCTCACTTCAGTTACTGTTGCCCTCCTTTCAGCTTGAAGCAGCCTGGCTATTCTCCTCTGATCTCTGACCACTCGAGGAACTGATGCTTCCTGGATATTTATTGTTTTTTGGCTGATACTCTTTAAACCCTAGAGATGGTTTTGTGGAAAAATCTCAGTAGATCAGCACTTTATAAAATATTCAGACCAGCCCGCCTGACACCAACAACCGTTCACCAACACCTTTCTTCCCTATTCTGATGCTCAATTTGAACTTCAGCAGGTCCTCTGGATCGCTGGACCATGTCTACACACCTAAATTTACTGAGCAGGTACCGTGTGATTGGCTGATTAGATCTGCATTTCCAGCAGTGGAATAGGTGTAACCTAACAAAACAAAACATGTAGGTAACTACAGCCTAATTGTAACTGTTATGTCAAAAATCACATTTGATATTTGACATAACAGTTGCAGTTTATCAGGATACAATAAATGCTATAAATTGAATAAAAACATAAATTAATACAACTTACCAGTAGATATTTAAAAAAATAAATAAATAAACAAACGCCCATCTTTTCTGAAAAAGAAGGGGGAAAGAAAAGACTACAACTCCCGTCACGTGATTTAAAAATCCCGGAACTACAAAGCCTGGTGACGGGATGTTTTAAGTGGGCTACACGGATGGTCGACAGCCGAGGTGTAAAAGCTGTAACTTTCTTTTACCGTTTCCAGCCGTGCTATCGAAATTTAAAACTTTAAATTCGTTGCTGTGGGTTTTGTGGCGCCAGCGGCGGCGTTATTTTGAATTCATGGACAAAGACAAGTGTAGCGATATTGTAAGTAAGCGAGTCTGTTGTTTGCTTTAGCTAAAACGTCACGTTTTCAGCCTATTTTGAGAGCAGCCAGTAGCTCACACGAGCCAGCTAACTGGACTGTGTGGAGTCTGTTCACTCACCACATGCAGCCTCTGCACTCATGCTTTGTGTACCTTTTGCAGCATGGTCAGTGCTCCTGGATGGAGATGCATCAGTTCCTCGGTGACCTTATCACATCTGGAAACTCCTCAAAAAATCCGCCAGATGTGTTTAATGCAGCATGGGGCGTGGCAGGAGGTGGTGCTGCTGATGGTGCTCTTGCGTTCAAAGCTACATCGTTTGAGCCACTTAGACCTGTTCAGGAAAAGATGGGTGCAGGGGCATCACAGAGGGCGAGAGAGACCAGAGACCGGAGAGAAGGTATGAGCCGTGTAAATAAACAAGTCCACCCATTTTCTTGTCAATTTTATTTTCCTACTGATGTGGTTCGGTTTGTCCTTCAGCTTTAGATCTGCATCATGCCTGCACCTGCCCTGGCTGTCCTTTCTCCAGTCTCCCTCCTTCATTTGAGACCCTAACATCCAGACAGCCTCTGTCCTTGCCGCCACACTCAGAGACCATATCCCACCCAAAAGATCTCAGTATTGCTGGTCCAGTGAGCCTTAGCATGTGTTTACCAGAGTCCACCTTACCCAGCAGCACCACCACCACTACATCTGAACTAGAGACGGGCCTGCCCAGCCGATCACAGAACGAGGATGTAGACAGAGGGACTCAGAGCCAGAACCAAAACTCTGATGTGCCTCCTTCAAGAGCGTCTTTGTCCCATCTTTCTATGTTTCCCCACTTGTGTTGTCACCCCGGCCTGCAAACTTGTACCCAGACACTAGGCCGCCAGGAGGGCACAGACTCCCCGTTTTCTCACACCCACGCTCACCATCACTTTCACCACCACCACTGCCCTTTAACGTCCTGTTTACCCTGCCCCCAGCTCGCCCACTCGCACTCTGCTCGGCTCTCTGGCGCGTTTCCATGCTTGTCTTGCCCTCACTCCTTTCATGCCTGTAATCAGGTGTGCCACCGTCAGCACAGGCAAGCACAGCAGCAGGAGGAGAGGGTTAGGACGTCTACAACCTTGCTGTCGTCACTGCATCCCTGCATGCACTGCTCCGCCTCATTTTCTAGACCGTCCCAGCTGCTACAACACCAGCGCTCCGAGCACGCTCACAAACCAGCCGGGTTCATTTGCACAGAGTGCGGCAGGGCCTTCAATTCACACAGCAACCTCCGCATACACCTCAATGTGCACACTGGTGCACGGCCCTACTCCTGCTCCGACTGTGGGAAAAGTTTCAGCCAGTCTGGAGCGCTGAAGATCCACAGGCGGATTCACACGGGTGAAAAGCCATATTCATGTGGCTTCTGTGGCAGAGGTTTCCCCCATCTGGCAGGGGTGCGTGCCCACCAGAGGACGCACACAGGAGAGAAGCCCTACCGCTGCAACCAGTGTGGCAAGTGTTTCACCCAGTCCGGAGCGCTAAAGATCCACACTCGCATCCACACTGGAGAGAGACCCTTTATCTGCAGCATCTGTGGCAAGGGCTTTTCCAACCGCTCCGGGATCCGTTTCCACTACCGCACAGTCCACGGGCTGGCTCCTGAGGTCACAGGGGAGACTGGAGGCGTGTACCGAGGACCCACAGGTCGTGCTTGTCAGCCCGGGCGCCCCAGAACGACACCTCCAACCGGCGCTGCGTTAAATGCACCCAACAGTCCAGGTATCGACTCACACGCAATTCTGAATACTCGGGATTCCTCAGATTTAATTGCTTCTCATCCCGCCTCTACACCGATCAGTGGGAACGAGGGCAAAGCTCAGCCAGAAGGAGCAAGAGAGGGGCTGCCGTATGCATGCGAAGACTGCGGCCTGCGCTTTAAAGACGCACTGTCCAGGAACAGACACCAGTCTCTGGTGCATTACTCCCACGAGGGAAGAGAGGAGGAGGGGCAGAGGGAAGAGTTCAGCACAGATGCTGAAAGTGAAAGAGAGTAAATTACTGCGGCTGGTAGATTATAACAGACTGAACATCTTATGGAATCTGTTCTTTAAGCAAAACTGCTTTCAAATTGGAAATTCAGTAATATTGCACTCCTTTTTAAGTGTTTTTCTGATATTTCACACTAAGATTGTGCTGAAACTCAACACTAAACCTTTTCTATTTAAACACAACCACAGTTTACTTTTAGAATTCATGTATTTTTTTTTTCTACTCTCCATCAGCTTTTCAGTCCTGATGTATGTGAGTAAGTGTCGTGTATGTAAAGATTTACCCCATTTTAGCAGTCCTTTATATATCCAGGTAAAGAAAATAAAAATCTAATTTCCAAGAGAGCCTGATGTCCATCCATCACACACACCAAACCAACTGGTTGCTAACACATCTGTGTAATTGTGCCTTATCCAGCAGTCCCAGTGTTGTATTATGATACCAGAAAGCATGTCACATTAATGTAATTTGATGGGCTTTTTAGTAGCATTTTATTATGGGATTGAGGACTGCCACCTGGCTCTTTTTATACAAAATGCCTTGAAATAGGAATGAAATAGGAACAAGTACAATTTTATATGTTAAACATGGATCTGTAGTAAACGTCAGTGTCACAGGTTTAATTAAGTTATTTAGTAACCTAATCATTTATAAAACCACATGTCTTCTATACAAAATACAACTTTCCATGGGATATAATATAAAGTAAAAAAATAATAATACAAGTATACAAATATAACTATTATAATTTTTCACTTAATTCTGTAATTCTGAGAAAGGTGCTATACAGCAGCAAAGGCCTAACAAACAAGGCCAGTGGAGGTGTTTTTTTTTTTTTTTTTAAATGTTAACATTTTGCGATAACTCGGCCTCCAGCAGAGGAACGTACTCTTCCTCTGGAGACTTGTTTAACTAGACAGAGCATTTCTTTCTCCAGGAAAAGTGGCTGAACACAGCTGTTCATCCAAGCAAAGGACAGTCCTTCCTAATTATGTCATCTTACTGCCTTTCGTGCCTCTCAGTTGTACTACAATCCAAGCAGTTATTTTTAGCTGTTGGTATGTTACCGGGTGATAATTATCTGCGCAGACAAATAATTACACAGTCCATTGTTGCTTAACGTCTGAAGCTCGTGGCAGCCACCTAGTGGTTGTGTGTAATTATAACAGTACTCTTTGTTACAGGTTACAATTTATAGTGCTTCATAAATGTTTTTGAAATGATACATTGTGAATACAATGCTTTGTAACATATTCATTTTTTGTTTTGCCTTAATTTGTGGAGAAGACTACACATAAATTTCTGTATGTGCTTTTGGAAAGTGCAGTTATGTGATTAAACATTTCATCAAACAGTATCTCTGAGACAAACTGAGCCTGTATTTATTTGTGCAATATGAAGAAAAAAAAAACAAAAACCTATCCCATACTTCCTTGATGGAAATATCTGCCTCCATGTGGCTCTCAGTGTTTAGTCTGAATACCCTCATATGCATAGTGACTTCCTTGGGTACATCACTCACGGGAGGTCCAGTTAGTGCAGTCTGAACAGCACTGTCCAGCTCACTGTTCAACTTCAGACCACTCCAAGTGTTGCTCTGGTGCCAACACACATTTCAACTCCAAAGAGCCTTTTCCTGAGTCTAAGTTTGCGGTGCTCACAAAGGATCTTCGTATGTGTGTTTCTGTTGTAAAGAATCACAAGACTTGGGTTCTGCATAGACAGCACTGACTGGTCTTGGTCCATTGGCATGTAGCGCGGGAGTGCAGTAGCCATTGAAGAGCACCCTGTGTGAGGGGCAGTCATACTGACTGTGACTGGATGTCGGTGCAGGAATGATGCTGGAGTCAGAGGGCTGATCTGAGAACGGAGTGGCATACTCAGGCTCTGGAGGAAGTGGCTCTGCATACTCGGGCAGGCAGCCAGGAGTGTCATAATGGCTGCAGGTGAAGGGGGCAGTATAACACTCTTCTGAGGAAGGTTTAAACGTTGAGCCAACTTTATGTCCAATAGGTGTAAGAGCTGGCTCAGCATAGTCTGGGAGGATTAGAGAAGAAAAGAGAAAATGTAAATGTAAGAAAAGTCATACAAGATTTTTTTTCCTGGTCACCTGACATACAGCAAACCTTCGTGAGATCAGAGGTCAAACCTGACATGATATTTGGATCTATCCTGTATCTCCATATGCCGGTATATCATCTCCTAATTGTTGCCAATAAGAACAAAAGCAGCAGAATTTTAAGCACAGTCTTAAAGATCGACCTTTTATGAAAATTAATTACTATGTAAACTTATTTCACCATAAAGAAGAGGTCAGAGGTCAAATGTTACATGATATTTCAAATCTTTATACAGTACTTTCTACATGCGGACAGTAAACACCTTACAAGGCTTTTATAAAGAAATAAATCATTAGGTTGACCTTCAAGACCTCAGTGCATGCAAGGCAAATTATAAATGGCTTGTTAACATGACCCCAATCTGCACCCCTGCATTTCGAGCCGTCGTGTTTACAGACAGAAACAGTGACACACACATAAACACTACCAATGACATGACCTACCTGATTGACCTAACTATAAATAAGACCAATAAGAGAGTAGAATCAATCCTGCAGCTATGGCAGAAAGTTAAAAATCCAAACTGTTTTCAAAAAGACACAATAAACTAGTGAATACATTTATTCACTCAGTGTTACCTCATAAATTGGATTTGGCAGTTGATTAGTTTGAGGGGCCCGGGCACATTTACTTACATCGTACACATGCAGACTTTTACATAATGTTTAGGTTCTAAAAACTGCAGCTGCTGTATCCTATAACATTTGAGGTCTGCTTTAAAAGCCAGCTTCTTGAAGTGCCTGCACAACAACAACAAAATCTGAATTTTAATAAAATCTGTTCTTCCCTTTGTTCGTGCCACCCAACCACAGAGCAGCCTGGTCTTCTTTCTGTCAGCAGCTGCTCAGTTTTTCTCTCCACAAAAGTTCAGTTTTATCTCTGCACAGCATCCAGAACGACTCTGGCTTATCCTAAAAGTCGCTTTGAATTCTGTGAGGTAGTTTTCCTCTGAAGACTTTCTTGGTGCACAAACAGACTCTACATTTAACAGAGTGAAGATATGCACCGCAACTCCCGTCTGGGTGCTTTTAAAGTCATGGGATTTGTCGGCATTTCCGACCAGCAGAACCGTAGCTCCTGAAAGTTCTTGGTTTGCCAGATCAGTAGGTCACAGATCACTATTTTTATATGATTTGATGGTTTGATTGTTGATTTTGTTCATCTGGATGCAGCGTTTTCAGTGAAATGCGACATCCAACATCAACTTTTTGTAATTTCCTGACGGGGATGATTGAGCATGCATCAAGACATTTTTACACAAACTTAAACACACAGATACTAAAACATGTAGCAGCAGGCTACTTTCGATAATGGGAAAAACTCCACTTCTTGTTTACATCTTGCAAATCAATTTCTGGGAAACTTCTGCTTCTTTTCTACCAAATAGCTGTCTCTAGGACAATGCAGAGCGCTGCACGAGAAGTCTGGCCACCAACAACGTCTCATCTAATCGCAAGGATGAGGGCTGACGGTCTAGCACTTAGATCCATCCAGACTACTCTTTGTCCTCGCAGAAGACACCGTGGTGTGGGAGGCCTGGACTTTCAAGAGCACACAGGGAGTCTAAGACCCAGAGCTATTTTAATTAGACAGGCTTTACTGAGGGCTTTGATTGTCTTAGCATTGACCGTCTGTCCTGTTTATCACTGGACCTCTCAGAGAAGGGCCCCCTCACTGAGGGAAGGGGTAAGGGAGGCAGAGATGGGACTGCTGGGAGGAGGGGGGGGGAGTAGGCTGAGTGCCCTGTATCGAGCTTCAATTAAAGGGTCTCTTTCAGTGAGCCTCTGTGGACCAAAGAAAGGAATGTTTATGCTGTGACCGGGTGATGGGCTGAGCCAGAGGAAAGAATGGACAGCCCGTGGAGAGAACTGTTTGCCTGTCAGGCTTGGCGTGAGCTACTCAAACTGACCACTGAAGCTAGAGACCATTAGAGCGGGAAAGATGGAGAGCCGAACACTTAACAGGACAAATAAACTTCAAAGGTAGCAGCTGACGACACTTGCAGAAGAACAAAGCAGCACCAGCAACTTCCTGTAATTGATAAAAATGTGAATTCTCACCATTAAGAGGAGGGTTTGGTAGTGCATCGTGGACGTTTCGAACCAGAGGGTACGACTGTGAGCCGGGAAAACTCTTTTCCTTGAAACTCTGAGAACCTACACAAAAATCATAGCCATAAAATTATTGCAACATTAAAAAAGGATTCATAACTAAAAAGTTTATTAAAAAAAAATAATCTGAAAAGTGCTAGACTTACTTGTGGGGACAGAGTAGGAGTACTTCATTTGTGAATCTTTTTTCCTACAATTTCAAATAACAAAAAACAAACTAAAATAATGAACGTTGATATTTCGTGACAGCAATCCATGTATCAAAAATCAGTGACAGTATGTCCATACAGGAAAGTTAAACATTAGTACATGTGCAGTACCTTCGCTTCAACCAGAATCCAGCCAACACACAACTGCCACATATCATCAGGCCGAGGGCCACGCCCACTGCTACTATTACTGGCTGACTGGAGGCTGCAAGAGTGCAAGAGAGTCTGCGTAAACAACTGAACACGTGTGAGGAAGGAATGCTGTTATTACAAAGTGCTGCCGATCAGATTAATGGCTATGTTGCCCTGTTTGCACTGGTGTGACTCTAATCTACTCGTATAAACTTCATACAGGTGAGTTGGTGGATGACACAAGTACATACTCTGTTTTGTTTCAACTAACACGGTGCACTCAGTGGTGGTGGGAGTGGGGCTTGGGAGCAGTGGACCCGAGTTAACTTTGATGGACGGAGAGTCTGTTGGGGAATTATCGAGACAGGAAAACTTCACATCAGGAAACTCAGCTGCAAATCAAACCATGTTAAAAGCAAACAAACCAAATTTTATAGTGGATAATCTGGAAGCTTATGAGCTACTGCCTACCACCGCCTGGTGGACGGGAAGACCTCGGTGTGGCCTTACTAACAGGACAGCCCAGGACCTGAATCTGAGCTGAAGCCCTCCCGTGCCAACTCAGCGGCTGGAGGCGGACAAATCGAGCCACCACAGGAGGAAACAAGCTATTGAGCACTCTGAGGTGTCCATCGGCGTAGGCCGGAAACACCTAAGAGCCACAAAGACCAAAATGAGTTAGCATCTGCATGTCTACTGCTTTAAAAAGCTCAGGAAGTTGGGGCAGTGAAAGCATTAAGCAGAACACCTACCTTTCTTTCTTTGCTTGCAGCATCTTTGTAAAGCTTCCAGTTCTTTCTATCCTTACTAAATGAAAGGATGTAGGATTCCATGTAGTA